CCTCATCTGTAATTTGCTCTGTGAAAATAGCTAGCATGGTTTATTTCTGACAAAGACCCCTGAGTGAAAATCATCTCATTCCGAATTAAGAGCCTGAATCCATAACATACCTTATAAGATCCCACGCAATGTGGACCCTGGCTATTTCTCTGCTCTTGTTTCTGCCCAAATATTGCCCAAATATTTGTTTCTGCCCAAATATTGCCTCAGTAAACACTTTTCCCGACAATGTATACAAAATTATTATGTCTCCCAACCCCAGCAGTCTTTGGTCATGCTCCCTTTTCTCTGCAGCATTCCTCGCCATCTGGTATAATCTATATCTGTTTGTTACCTGTCTTCCCCACTAGAATATGAGTTCCATGAGAAAAGTTTTGTTCACTGCTGTGTCCCCAGGGTCCAGATCAGGCTCTGGCACACAGTAGGTGCTGACTTTTGAAAAAAAGACTAACTGTAGAAAACACCCTAGAAGCAGCCCTACCATTTTTGCGTCCATTTATCTGAATTATAACCAACCTTTAATTTTTAAAGGATCTGTATTTATTACCTCGCTTTGCTGGCCGTCCTTCGTTCGTGGAATCACACTTTAGTAGCAAGGTCTGTTGCACTTCCTTAGTGATGGTGCACTTTAAACTGTGTGCTTTCTTCTATTTCACAATTTACTTTTTGAGACAGGGTCTTGTTCTGTCGCCCAGGCTGGAGTGCAGTACAATCATAGCTCACTGCAGCTTTGATCTCCTGGGCTCAAGTGATCCTCCCACCTCAGGTTCCCAAGCAGCTGGGACTACAGGTGTGCTCCACCATGCCCGGATAATTTTCCTTATTTTTTTAGAAATGGCGTCTCACTGTGTTGCCCAGGTTGGTCTTGAACTCTGGGGCTTAATCTATCCTCCTACCTTGGACTCCCCAGTTGATGGGATTACAGGGGTGAGTCACTATGTCTGGCCCAATTTAAAGTTTTTTTTTAATGCAAATATTAGCTCCATTTTAAACCTTTAAAAATTATCAACTCCATCAAGATCAGCCACTCAGCAGCATTTATTGAGAGGCTGGTTGCTGTGCTAGGAGTTGAAACTAAACTATGTTGGGGTGTCCAAAGAAGGAAATGCAATTCCTGCCCTTGTGGAGCTTATAATCTCATGAATATTCAACTTGCACATACGAAAACGTCTCAGGTATTTACCAATGATGCACAAAAGAAAATAAATAAAATATAGTATCTATACACTTGTTCGATGAGGTGCAATGGTTGAAGGGCCATTCAAACTAGAATAATTCTTAGAAGAGGTTGTTGTTAAGCCTGAATTTAAAGAAAGAGACAAAGATGGATAAGTATGAGGGAGGAAAGAAAGGGCAATTGCAAAAACAAAAGGGAATGACAAATACACGGAACTAATTTAATTAGTTACCTGGAGTCTATAAACGAAAAGTCTGTGAATTTGGCCTCTAGCCTTTCCGTTCTGAGTTATCTATTCTGCACTTCTCCTCAAATGTATCAAATTATATTCTGAACTCAAATGGTCCTATACTTTCAACAGCGGTTGGAGTCACTTTGCACTCCTTCCAAGTTATCCTAGGTCTCAACTGAAATGTCATTTTCCCAGGGAAGCTTTTTCCAGTCGCTTAATCTGAAATAGATGTTCTTTGTTATTCTATCCCTTAGCATTTCTTTCATAGCCTTTACCATAATTTATAACTGTAATTTTATTTGTTACCTTATCATTTGACTTCTATATTAGATTAATAACTACCTAGAAGCAGGGTGTTTGCATTATTTTTCAGTACTATATACATATCAGCATGGTGCCTAACACTTAATATATATTTGTTGAAATGGAATTAAATAGTACATATTTCTGTGAAGGCCAGAAATCCATACATAAAACTGATTCCAAAACTCAAAATAATTTTATTTTAAATACTTACCAAAGTTAAATTGTCCTCACTTCTGATACACAGAAATGTATATTCATATAACTCTCTTGATACATACATATACAAACATATGTACATAATTCACATACATGATAATATTTTGACCTTTACTTCTGCAATTAATTTCAATTTGTGTCACATATTTCAATTTTTACAATCAACTAAATATGTTCATGAGAATAATTAATTCTTCTAAAGTAGGGAATATAACTCTGGATAGGACCGGGGTATGAGGAGGGATGGTGCAAGCTGGTGCTAGCTCATACACAATGACTTGGTGTACATTTTAAAAAGGACCCACATCCTCTGGGTAGACACAGACACACAGCAACATAAACTCTGCTTGGTGAATGGAGCCTGGGCAGGACTTCAGCTTCCACTTTAGGTGCTCTTGCACAGGGCATGACCTGCACATAGGTGGCAGTCCTGGAGAGGATTACTCAGTGGTGGTGTGAGCAGATGTGATCTAGCCATCCTTGGGCTGTTCCATTCCTTGCTAGAAAAGGCCAATTTGATTTGTCTGGATTATTTTGGTCAGGAAGGGGTCCCTTCTTCTTTTCACCACTCTGTCTGTTTAGCTGAAGAGGGAGACTTCTCCAATGAAAGAGGACCATTTTTCATGTTCAAGTGTATGCATGGCCATCCTCTGTTCCTTCAGCCTCCAAGGGGGCTTTCAAGGTTTAATCTAAAGCAATAACCCTGTGTTGATTCTTGATTCCTAAGAAATTATGCTGTCAGTCTGGTTGTAAGCAAGGGTTGCAATTTTCCCTCTGGAAAAAACGCATCAGAAGTTAGTCCATTTGTATAACACTGCTTAGTAACTGTTTAGAAATTATATCAGTAACACTAAGAATAAGCTCAAGCTATCTCCTAAGTGACCCAATTTATTGACTTTCAGGACAAATAGTAGATGAAATTAATTCTAGTTTCTATATATCAAAACTAACAAGCATGTCTTATTTCAGTAATCTTTTATAAACTTTCTATATCTTAGGGTCAAGGGTTATAACAGATACATAGTATTTTAAAAACAAAACTAATTTACCTTTAAGTGTCCTTAGTCTTGAAGTATAAGCCATAAGAAAGGCCTGTTTCAAAACTACTAACATGAATTTATCAGAGTAGGAGCTCAAACCACTGAAATATGTTTTTAGAAGGATTTTTACTTTGGAAAAGGAATATAAACTTGGCATTTGGGAATAAAGGGTTGGATAGTGGAAAGCACCCCAGATTGGGTTCAAGTCCTTATTCTCAAACTATCTAATGCGATGAAACTACGCAAGTGATTTAAATTTGATGGGATTCATCTTGAGATCTATTAATGAGTTTAAAGTCTTAAAGTGCTCGCAGCTCTCTGATTAGTTTTATATTAAAAGTCCTCAAAGCAGAAAGAATATCAGATTTTTTTAAAAAGCCTGTGAGATCCTAAGTGGACTTACAATCACGTGTATGAAGAATCATGTGTATACAGCAGCCCCTGGGGGAAATGTCAAACATGTCATCGGGGCCCTACCTTTAGCTGAGGACTGGGCCAGACATCCTAGCAGATTCTTTTCAGTTATTCTGATGTGTCACCTCTTTTGGGAAAAACCTAACTTCACTAATATCCAGGTTCAGCAAGTGAAAAAGACAGAAGCCTTACCTAGCCACCGTGACCACTTTAAAGAAGTGATTAATTTAGTCAGCTGCCCACCTCAATCATCACCAACTTTTGCAATCGCTTGGCGAAATCAATGTCCAACAAGTGAAGCAAATCCAAATATGGTGAACATTCCTCCATTGCCAAAATGGGAAAACTGCCTTATCTCCTCATCAAAGCCCATCTTCTGGGAAATCAGCTCCTCTGTTAAATACCCAAGTGGGCTAGAAGCACATTTTGTGTGCAACCCTGTAGAAGCTCGTCCTGATGCCAACTTGCAGGGATCCAGTAAACCTCAAGTCACCGCTCTTGATAACGTAGACATCTTTTTAGAAACACTTTATTTATACAGACTTTGTCTAGCTGGGGAAAAGGTTAATTTATTTGTATACACGGGGATAAGTAGAGCACAGCGCTTCTGGACACCCTTAAACTTGCAACTAATTCTTTCTCCAGATCTAACGCCTCTGTTTCTACTCCCGGGGAATCTCTCCCCAGGGACTGCGCGCGCGTGCGTGCGTGTGTGTCTCTCTGTGTGTGTGTGTGTGTGCGCGCTTTAAAATGATCACTAATTCCGCGCCCAGCTTCTCTCCGTCCACCTGTGGCCCAAGAACCTGTGTTCCCAGATGGCACCAGCGGGGCCTGGCTTATTCCAGAACACATGTGGGGCCCTGAAAGGTGCGTCGGGGACTCACCCGCCCAAATCGAGGCAAACACTCTGGGAGGCCGACTCCGGCTTGGCTTGTGGCCCGACACACCGCCCCACTCCGCGCACACGTGTCTGTGACATTTCAGTGGCTTGCAGGACCTCCAGCGAGGATGTCTCCAAACCATTTCAGCCTACTCAACGGCATCTGGGACGTCCCCCTGCCTCTAAGTCAGACCCCAAGAAAGATCTTTGAGGACTTGAGCTTCACATTGAAAATCAGTGTGGAAAATGGGGGTGCCCGTGCGGCTGGGGGAGACAAAAGGGCCCAAAAACTCCCTCCCGTCCGCCCCAGCCCACTTAGTTCACCCTCCCACGGGGCGAGGGGCGGGCCAGGGGGCTGGGGTGGGGATGGCCCTGGAAGGGGTCCCTCCCTTCACACCTCCCACGGCCCACCCTTACTTACTTTCTCTCGGAGCCTCTGCTTGGCCGCCTTTAGCCCAGGCGATGCGGAGGGGAAGCGGGGAGGAAAGAGGAGCCTGCGGGCTGCAGCAGCCGGGCAGTCCCGGAATCTCCGGACTGCGCCCCTGCCCCAAGCCCGCCGGGAACCGGGGCCGTGGACGCCCCCACCCGGGCGCCGCGGCGAGGCGGGCGCGCTGGGTTCAGCACCCTCGAGGCTGGCTCCGAACGCTCACGGCCCTCCCCCTCCGTCCGCCGCCGTCGCTGCCAGCCGCCCCTCCCCGCCGCAGCAGGGAGGCCGCCGGGGCCCGGGGGACGCGCTCGCGCGGGGGCTGCCCCCTCCCCTTCCCCCCACCCTGGGCGGGGGCGCGCGAGAAGCGGTGACGTCAAGGGGCGCGCTGTGGCAGCACCTCCCCGCGCGCTAGTTAAAAAGAAGAAGAAAAGAGGGAGCGAAACATGAGAGGCTGTGTGAGAAGCTGCAGCCGCCGGCAGAGGAGACCTCAGCATCATCTACAGCCCAGCGCTGACCCTGCCTCCGCCTACCCCGCCGCCGCCGTCGCCGTTTCTGTTCCTGCTACTGTACCACCTAAACAACTCCCGTTACATGGACAAGTGAACATCTGTGGCTGTCCTCTCCTTTTCTTCCTCTTCTTCCAACTCCTTCTCCTCCTCCCACTTCCCAGCCGCAGCAGAAAGCCCCTAACCCAACTGACACTGGCACAACTGAAAACGGTGTCATCTGCACAACTTTATCTCGCTCCTCGGGCTCCCCTAAGGCATTGGACCCATCGCCGCGTCTTTCATTTTTTGCAAAGTTGCATCGCTGAACGTATTTTTGTCCCCGTCACCTCCCTCTGCCTCTGGAGTGCCCTGCAGCCCCGCAGCCTCCTCCTGGAGCTGCGCCTTAGTGCCTCTGCTGGGCAGTGGCGTTCCCCCCCATCCTCCCGCGCCCAGCCCCTGCTGCTCTGGGCAGACGATGCTGAAGATGCTCTCCTTTAAGCTGCTGCTGTTGGCCGTGGCTCTGGGCTTCTTTGAAGGAGATGCTAAGTTTGGGGAGAGAAACGAAGGGAGCGGAGCAAGGAGGAGAAGGTGCCTGAATGGGAACCCTCCGAAGCGCCTGAAAAGGAGAGACAGGAGGATGATGTCCCAGCTGGAGCTGCTGAGTGGGGGAGAGATGCTGTGCGGTGGCTTCTACCCTCGGCTGTCCTGCTGCCTGCGGAGTGACAGCCCGGGGCTGGGGCGCCTGGAGAATAAGGTAGGCAGTCACCGGCCTCACGGACGCGTACTTGGCATATTGGCTGGGTGGGGTTCCCTGTGGCTCTGGCAAAGCCGGTGGCTCTAAGAAGGGCAAAACTTCTCTGGGGGAGTTCTTTTCATAACTTTTCTAAAGCGCTAACGTGATTCTGTTGTGTGTTCTCTGGGGTAAGCAAATAGCTTTCCCGCCCCCAGAGTCCGCGGTCGGGATGCTGTGCAAACTTGCCTATCTCTGAAAACAGACGCTTCTGCGGTACCCGCACCCTGGGCTGGGTAAATATTTTAAAAGAATCGCGATGAACAGTGTGTTTTGGATCGAATGGGGCACTGGCTGCGGTGAAACTGTAAATTAAGGTGGCTGTGGTTTCCGGTTTATTTTTCTAGGGTAAAAAGATTTGTGCCGTTTTCTCCACGTGCTCGGTTAGGGAGAGGATTGAATTGTAAAGGATGTTGAAGCATGGTTGGTTTATGATCCCCAGCCCCGTCAGAGGGGGGTGTCTTGCATTACATTAGTTAAACCAACAGAAAGGAACTCTTGGTCCTCCGGTTAGGGACCTGAAAAACACTGGCGAAAGATTTTGCTGGGGCGTTATTTATCACCTAAAACTGAGACGATTCTTCGTCATTTTGTAACATTATAAATTCAGACTTTCAGGGTCAGTTAGGTGTCTTGGAAGAAGATCTTCTCTAAGAATTTGTTTTAAGAGTAATGGCATTTACGTTATCCTTGTGTTAATAAGTTTAACTAAATACTAACATGGTGTTTGTTGACTGGAAAGACACGCTTGTTTTTGAGTTTGCAATATCATTCTTGCCAGGAGATGCAGTCATGGGTGGTATTCACTGTACACCAAGGAATGATTGCTGGGTCACGTCATTAACAATCACTGCACGTGAAATAAACAATCAGGTGTCTTTGCTCCCCCTCCCTTTCCCCATTTTAGGTTTAATTAAGAATTCCTCTGTTAGAACACTGCCAGTTGTCAAGGTCTGAGAGACTCTTGGAAAACTCGTGCTTCAGTCTTGCTGGCCCAGGCATAGAAAAAAAAAATACCCAGGCTGAATCTAATTTTTATGCTCAGTTCACGGTAGATTTCACTCTATTCTCATGTAAACAGCTCCTACGAATCAACATATGTGTCTGGGTGGTATCTCTCACTTTGTTTTGTAACAAAAAGCCATATTGCATCATTTAATTTGCTCAAGTCATGCAAATAGGAAAAAATCAATAGGACAAAAAGGGGTCGACTTATCCTCCTCCCCACTAAACTGCTGCCCACACACAGAGTCCTGTTGCTTATGGCAAAAGAATAACAACAACACCATTGTATTTGTTAGTTGGTTCACTAATGGGTGAAACTAGAGAACATCATTCTCTTTCAGTCCCCAGCTCTGTCCAAATGTTCATGCCTTTTGAGGGAGCATTTGCCCAACTCCTTCTATTCCCAGATGAGAGAGAACTGTCTTGCTGCAGGTTTTCAGCTGCAACTCTCTTTTTATTCTTACCATATGCAGCAGGAGCCTGAGATTCAGGGAACAGATATTCCAGGATTTTATTCAAAACAATGTCATTAAGCTCCTGTGTTGCAATTGAATTAAGTTTCAAAATAGCTACATTCAGGTCACCTTAAAGGTTTTATCAGGAGCCCTAAAGAACCAGCAAATTCAGAGAAAAGTTTAGAAATATTTGCCATTAAGTCTCCCTTGGTGTAATATATACTATGAATATACTGATGATCTAGGGACCCCTGCAGTACTCAACTCTTCCAGGGACATATGGAATGAAAATTTTGTTCTTCACTAAATGGTGGGGAGAAAAGGAAGGGGGATGGGACCGAGGGGAGTTATAGCCCTTAAGAGAAGTTATATAATTTTTTTTTAAAGAAATAATTCTTTAGGAAGCAATCTGCCATGTTAACTATACACATTCCTTTCTGTTTTATGTGCTTCCAATCTCCAACAAACCCCTACTCATTTGGAAAGTCTGTCTGAATTAAGTTTGGTACACTAGACTTTTGCTGGTTCCATTACAAGTGGTTTATAAACTAACAATACCCAAATTGTTCAAAACAGAGATTTGCTATAGCTATGCATATGCATTCTTGCCCTATATTAGTTCTCAAGTTTTAATAGTTTTTAAAACATGTTATTTTATAATAAACTTCAGTGTTTCCCTTTTTCCCGTAAGCCTTCCTGGATTATAATATATGTTAGGATCTTATTTCATAATGTGTATACAGGAGAGATGATTGCTATTTGAAAGGGCCCTTTTTTTGTTTATGGAAGAAAAAAAAAATCCCCAGAAAGATTTCTGCAGCTTTTCAAGAAACTACAGTAGTAGGTTTTTCCTACAGGAAGAAATTTCTTAGACAAATAGATAGTAGCAAACTAGGTAGGAATATTAGCATGCTCAGCCATACAGTTAAGTCCTGTTTCTAGGCTAAGAAATTTTCTTTAATGAACTAGAATTGAGTTCAATTCTTTAGTCATGGAATTATGCTCTATTTTAATTTTTTATGTATTTTAATAATGTTCTATATTGTAATAAGATTGTTAACTACCTTGACAAGTAAGTAGTGTCAAAATTTAGGAAGTCATATTATCTTAGCAATATTATCGCACTTTCTAAATACAGCATGCTAAAAGAATCTAATTCTCATTAACCAGATTGAATCTGCAACCAACTAAAATACCCCCATTTCTAAAACTTAACTTGTAGCCACAGAGGCATAGAAGCTCTCTCTACCTTGGGTGGTTTCACAGCCAAAGCTGTCAAGGAATGGGTGAAAAGTAATTGTTTTCAAGTGTGCCCTTTTACAATCATTTGTTTGCTCTGGCTCTTTCAGGCACAAAGGCTATTGTTGAACACATCCAACTAAACAAATAACTCATCCTGGGGTCCCTTTAACAGCTGCCTTAGTACAATGATCTATTTACATATTAGCCTAAAATTGAAACTGAACTCTTTAATGACATAATCCAGCACTATAGTTCAGAGACACATGTGTTCTACCCAACAGCTGAACAACCTTGTAGGCATATGATTTTTAGAAATAACTTTTTGTGTACCAAGTGATCTTAAGGCGACATCTTAATATACTGTCATGTATTTTCTCCTTTTGTCCCCTCATCGAACCCATGTGGGTGCCTTTTGCCCTCTTTGTTTAGTTACTTGGTAAATAAAGAGAAATACAGAAGGTCTCTGTCACCCATTTTACTGTTTGTTGATAAGCTATAGTTGGAGGCCACGCTTTACTGTGTATCCCCTATTTATCTTACCCTTCTTCTATGGATTTTACTTTCGTGTGGCTAAAGATTAAAGGATGACCTGCCAGATGTTATAAATTAGCAACAGCCACAATGATTACTAGGCATGCTGTAATAATGTCTCAAAGTTTTACATGATTTCTGAAGTGTATTTAGTTTTAACCACTATGATGGTTTTGTATACAGCTTTCAAAAATTGAAACAGGAAATTAGCTTAAATTTCTTCTTAAGATTGACAGCATCATCAGAAATAAAGTTAAGGACCTATATAAGACACAGACACATAGGCAAAAAAGAAGAAGAAATTACGCTACACACACTCAGACTCATCTGTCTAAAACCCTGTTGCAGCTTTGGCTGAGTCAGTTTAATTGACTTCAGTAAGACTATTGGTTCATTGAAACCAAAGCCAGAATGATGGCTCTATCTATCTTCAAATAGGTATTTACACTGCAGACCTCACACAGAGCAAAATGTTACCATCCTGCTGGGCCGGAACAGCATGAAACTTTAAAAAGAATAATATTATACTTGATTTCAGATAATTTATTGAATCCTACTTCTGAAACTTTTGATGAGAGATCTGTGGCCAGAACACATTCCAAAAATTGTAAAAGACAAAATTCCTTAGGCACTAAAATCAAGCTCTTCCTGGATAGCAGCTGAGAGAGTATACGAGGATCATTTTGTTTCAGCTATAAAAAATGGAAGCATGCATAATCTCCATAAAACCAAAGGTAATTACATTCCAGTTTTTCAGCCAGCAAAAGAGGTGGCTTCAGCATCCTGCAGTTGTTCTGTTCTTAGTGGACTGCTATATGATAAACAAACAGAATTGCTATATAATAAACAAACAGAACAGAGTTGAACACTATTAATATTGAATAGATCTGGTGAGGTCTGCCAGAGTATGGACAATAAAAGACATTTAAAACATTCTTGGAATGCAAATTCTAAGGGTGTAGTCCATGTTTCCTTTTAGAAAATTGTATCTATTTAAGCAATTGTTATTTAAATAAATTGATAAGACTGTAAATATAATTGTGATTAATAATAACTTTTCTGAATATTGTAGCTACAACCCATTATACATTTTTCCAAAATATGATCACTTCTATTGGACTTGCTGCGTACTAAAATTTCAGTATGCATGTATTCAATTTTTTTTCATTACTTTGCTCTTGCAGATTCAAATTTTTGTGATGACTTGGAATATCATTATCCCAAAAAACAGAAGCCATAGATTTACCCAAATTAGAACCTTAATTTGTTAAAGGAATATTTGTTTAAAACAGTGCTCTAGAATTTAAAATGTTAAATTTGATTGATAGTTCTAAAGAAGTAATAAAGTATGAATATAGTTAGATGAATTGGGAAAAGGTTTAAAATTCAATTCCATTATGTTGTTTTTAATGTAAAAAATCAATACTTGATTTTGACAGCACTACATTTCCCATGTCAAATATTGTGTTGATATTGCCTTCTATATATATTAAAGGACGTTCTGAAGGCAGGTTTTTAAAGTTACTGCTAAACAACAAGACCTATTCTGTCTATTAATTGCTAAACTCAATGAATCAGTAACTCAAATTGGTCTTATTGAAATAAAAGACATGTCACTGTAAAAATTGTGATGAAGGTATGCCATTTTTCATTAAAATTCACTACATATTATTCAAAAACACTTCGTTAAGCTCTTGTGTTTATTCATGCATATAACATACCTGAGGACCCAGTTAAAAAAATTTTCCTGCCTAAGATATAACGAATAATAAAAATTGGTTTTAAATCTGTTTGATTTCACTTTGGATATTATTTTTGTAAAACATGAACAGCAAATCCTACTTTAGAAAACTTTCCCTAATGCAGTCTGCAGATTGAAAACTAATTGAAATTTGAGAAATGTAACCCAAGTATATTTTTGACATAATCATATTAAGAATTTCAGGAATGAAATAGATTTTCATGTAAGACACAAATAAGTTGTGTCTTGAAAAATTCTGTTTTGCATGCAGTTGGACAAAGGTTGGGATTTTAAAGCTAAGTATCATTCAGTATACACTTTGAGGCAGAATGAAGTGATAAAGTCTTAAAGAGTCTAAATATAATTGCCTTTTATTTTTTCACACCTGAAATACAGATGGAGTCTTTGATTTGCAAAAATAAGAAGCACTTTTATGTATCCCTGCCTTTTGTTCTCCCAGCCCAGTCCCAGAGACTATACTTGCATCCTTATAAAGGCATTCTGTATTGTGACATGGTAATTCTTTTCAGAAAACTTCATTGGCTAAATTAAACTTTTCTACTTACACAATTGCAAAAAAATAATAATAACTATACCTAACTTTACCTAAAAAATTGTTTGTTTCTGATTTATGACTTTCAGATATTTTCTGTTACCAATAACACAGAATGTGGGAAGTTACTGGAGGAAATCAAATGTGCACTTTGCTCTCCACATTCTCAAAGCCTGTTCCACTCACCTGAGAGAGAAGTCTTGGAAAGAGACCTAGTACTTCCTTTGCTCTGCAAAGACTATTGCAAAGAATTCTTTTACACTTGCCGAGGCCATATTCCAGGTAAGAAAAAAATGCATAAGTGAAATAAACCACTGCACAATATCCTTGTAAGATACCTGTGCTTAAACGCTTATTTGTAAGACTTGTAAAATTTATCTTATCTTTAAAATTACCTATTTTACCTCATAATTAACATTCCCAAATATATAACTTTTATTGCCTCTAAAGGGAATATTGTAATTTCAGTCTGAAAATAGTATAATTGGTTTTGTTGACTTATTATATATTTCTTGTTAAGCTGATAATACAGGTGGTAATCTTTACACACGTTGTATTCTCAATCCAAACTCCTCGTTGGTACCTTCTTTACCCATCACCATCAATATCAAGGCAACATCTTCTTCTACACAGCTGATACATAACTGGAGAATGTCCACTGACTTGTAAGATAGCTCCTTAAACCAAATATGATGAGCAATCCAAAAAAGTAATATCTTCCAAGGCACTTTCACATCAAATGACGAATTTTCTCCTCAAAACCCCTGTAAGGTAGGTAGAAACAGTGGAGTCCCCTCCAATTGACGGATGAGGAAATCTGAGCCTTGGGAGAAGTCAAATGCTTTACTCAAAGTTATACAATGAGAAGGTGATAGGAGAGATATGGACGTTCTCATGCATACAGTGTCATGAACATGCCTAGTCACTATTGTAGTTTGGACTCTAATAAGCATATATATTCATTAATTAATTTTTATCATCAAAAATTTGTAAACTTTGGTTGCTGTTGCTTTAGTTGGAAGACTCAACACAGAGGAAAAAAATAATTTAATGAGACATTCTGTTTAGTTAGGCAAAGTCGCACACAAATCTACTGAAGATTAAGCAGTATTTAAGGAAAAGACAAGCTTTAAGAACTGTAGAATGCACTGAGAGAATTTTTTTAAGTGCTATGTACATTTTACTTTTTTCTCTGACTCAGGAAAGTGTAGATTTTCCTATTTTTAATATAGCTCTCTTAATAACCTTATAAAATATTTTGACTTGGGTTGTTTGCTTCCTTGAATATAGCATAACATATATCTAAACCCATTCAATATGAAAATATTATTATTGTTTTCATAAACCACAGCCATGTTCCTAAGCCTTTTCTCAAGCAGCTGTTTCTTTCTCTTTATCACATTCCCCAGAGCAAAGCAGAATAGGTCACGGTTGCCTAGATGGCCTACAAAGAAGTGATAACAGATTAGATACCATAAATGTTTGCTGGAAACTTCAAGTCTTGAACACTTGCCTTTAGGACTATAAATTGAAAGTGATATCAACACTAAGCATTTTTATTTACCATTATCTACTTTAGATAAATACAACATGCTGGATTTGGGGACATAACTGTGGGGGTCTTTATATATTTGAAGTAATTTTAGCTTCAAAAAACAATAAAATAAAAGTAATATCCACTGAAAGAGAGAGCACAGCAAACAGCTCAGAGCCAGAACTGCAAGCACCTCACTCCCCAGATCAACATATGTGGTGACGAATGACAAATTTATTTTTCTACAAAGTTTGTATATATGTAAAACTGCTGAAGTGCATCAAGATGTCAAGTGCTTTTGGTGGCCACCCAGGCTGCTTTGAAAGATAACCAGATGAAAGCTCCACTCTAGAGGTGGACAGAGCAGCAAGGGTGCTTTCCAGACTATGGAAGGCTTTACCCACAAGCAGAGGGGGCTGCCCCTGCGTACATCAAATGCTAATGATCATTCTCAATACTTGCCCCAAAAGTGAGCTATAGTAACACACTCTTTGCATTACTTATGCTAATCGATTTGTTGCCTGGATGGATCCTTGGCATGTAGGTTACCATTTCCTAAAGTACAATAAATAAGATGCTAATCCGCACCCTTCCCAGCCCCTGCTCCCAGCAAAGAAGTGTCTTCACAACTGTGGAACACAGATTTTTTTGGAAATTACTATAAAAGCAAATTTTAATAGTTTTCCCTTAAGTTGATTTAATGATATGGGTCACTTTCCTCTGAAGTTCAAAGTGTTGGAAAACAGCTACATTGTGATTCTTTTTTAGAAGAAACTAATCAACATATTTTTGACTATCCTCATTAATAGCTTCATCTTTCTACACAACAAGAACTTGAAGAGGAAGGTACCCCGAGGGATGTATTTTGCTAAAATAAGGCAAATGCTGAAATAACTGAGAGAAAATAATTCCAGAGACATCTTCATTTTTTCCCTATTGCCCAATACATGAAGAAATGTATATATAAATGACCTAAAGATTTGCTTTGACTCCACGGCTTTAAGAAAGCACAGTCACTTTAGAATATTCATATACCTACAAGATAGCTACTTCCTAGAATGCTTAATCAAGAAATAGTCATAGTCTGCTTATTTTTCCAAAAATGGGAAAAGATATTACAAATCAATATAGTGAGTATATACTAGAGTTTTATGAATCATAATATTTTCCAGTTGTGAATTCACTTAGGGAAGTAAATTCTCAAAACTTCTAAAATTGCCAAAAACTCTCTGCTCGTCTCTGCAGGTCTTTTCTTCTGCTTAACTGAGCAGGGTGGCTACTTTGCTAATCACTAAAAGAAGGCATAACATACTCTATGGGAAGCATATCTAATGGATATCTATTGGCCTTGCTTCTTCCTCTATATCTGTAGTCATAATGATTTTTATCACTCTTCGACCTCATCTTCTCAGCAGTAGGTTATTGTAGTGTGAAATGTCTGCACACAATTAGTTCAATTGGTTTAATCCTGTTGCTAAGAAGGCCAAGGTCAAGGGTTTGATTCAACTGAATTTTTCTAGTCCTTAGCCATTCCTAACCCTGGTCAGTTAGCTTACACATGTGTCTTCTTAGTCCCAAGGAGAGTAAACCAGAAGGAGTAAATAGATGGATATATCAAAATCCACCACTTCTATTAGGATATGTTCATGAGTAAGTCTTACTCATGAAGAGTCCTTAACTCTTTTTTTTTTTTTTTTTTTTTTTTTTTTCCTTATCATGATGAGCAGCACTTACAATGAGGAAAAATAACTTTTCCCTGGAATACATGCTGAGAGAAAAGGCAGAACTCAGAACACTCCAAGGAAGCATTTATTTTATACGTCAGTATTTATCGGGTGCTTTGTGGTATAGCATAACCAGGCTCACTATCCAGGAGAGTATTTACAGGTCCAAGATAGTTGATAAATGATCAGAACTTAAAAAAATACAGCTGCTAGAATAGTCAGTGTTTGTTCATTATTAGTAGACCTGACCATATTATGATGATCCTGAGTGAGCTAAACATGCGCTTTCAGTAAAATGCCAAACAAAAAGGAACCCTGGCAATAAATGTTAAAATATATCTCCCTACTCATCATTGTTCACTGCAGAATCGGGTCATTTAAGGTAAAATATTAATAAAAGTGTTAGATACTTAAATTCAAATAAAATTACATGATTGCAAAAAAAAAAAAAGCTCATGTATTTAAGTGAAATCTTCTGAACTGGTTTTCACACTTAGGTTATTCAATTTGTCTAAATTACATAAGAAGCTTGGAGTAAATTTATTGTCTGTATTTTTTCTTAATTTGCTAAGCAGGCATCATACCTCTGGAGCCACAAACTTTATGAATATGTATTCATTAATCTTTAGATATTTCGTTTGAAAATGACTTCTCATTTCCTCGTGTTTGTTGCAGTTACTAATTCCATTTAAATTGGAATCGACCACCAGCATTGTTAATTAATTTCCCCTTAAGATGGTATTGGTTAGTAGACAGTAATGCTGAAATACACATGTTTTTTAAGTAAGCTTGACATTTCTTTTGAATTGCATTTTGAAATTTTTCTGTGACCCTTCGGCAAACATCACATTAAAACTATATTTGTCACTCACATATCCAGTTATAAATAGGACAATAGTGTGACAGTCTTCCTGCATGCATAATATAGGCATGGAGATTTTGTTGCCTGGGGGTAAATATTTCCAAAACAAGATCTAGCCCAAAACTGTGCAAAGAGTTTGATTTAACAATTTAGTTTTTTTTTCTTTTTACCACTAAGAGACTTGTTTCACACTATGAGGCAGTTTTCATCTGAAGGCTTACCCATTTAAGAAGGGAGGGGAAAAGCTATCTTTTGCAAATGGTGACTTGCTAAAGATGAGTAAATGCTTCTATGGCCTTCATTCCCTTCCCCAGTTTCTAATCCTTGAATTTTTTTCAAAGAAAAATAACTTTCTGATTGCCTTGCCCCTCCCGTGGAGCACTTCCCAGCTGCTTGCCTCTTTTTCTCTGTGCCCCCCACAGCATGCACACACACACACATACACACACACACACACACACACACACACACACTCCCAAGGACATCTGCTCTTACTTGCCTGGTTGCCAAGACAAGATCCTTTCCAATAGCCTAGTCAGAAACTGGCAGTGAAGAGTCTCTCTCAGAAAGTTCAGGGTGAGACATTTCACCCAAAAGTTAGGTCAAAATGTACTTCAAGCTTTACAACCATTTGGGACCTTCACATTCTAAGATAAGTGTTAGGTTTGAGGGGTCCTAGGTCAAGCACACAGAAAGTAAACTTGTGGTGTCTTTTATGCACCATTGATGAGTCTCACTTGGCTGATTCCAAATTCTTAGAAATCCTTGCTAAATCTGAATTTGTTATACAATTCCTAAATTTCTACTGAGCTACTCAGTATGTTCATCACAAAATTGATGAGGTATGAAAATCTAATTTGTTATACAAAAATAAAAACTTTAGATATATGATATAAAGTATAAGACCAGAAGCAACAATTTAGTTCCACATATAAGGCTGACTCTGGTAGCATCATCATATTTTGAGAGCAGAAATCATTAGAATGTGGAAGTGAGTCTTTCTAATATGTCCCAGAAAGGTAATACCTTATTAACTCAAATTGTAAAGGTAATATCAAAACTTTTTTGCCATAAAGTTCTTTTCTTTCATATTCAAAGATAGCTGTCTTTATATAATAAAATATTTAATGCGTAAGAAAAGAAAAAAACATCTTTCTTTTAGATCCTATTAAGTAACTCTGTTGTTATTTTTGTTTTGACTTGTTGATATGTCAGCTTTTCTGTTTGAGACGATTGAAGGAATATTTTAAATATAATTTTTCTATTACAAATTAATCATTATCTCCTATAAGTGAAGTGCAGGAAAAACATATTTGAATATAGAGGTTCTGTTATAAACATCAGTTCATTGCTTGATCATTACACAGTGCGTCAGTTGTTTATTATATAAACAACAGTATATAATGACCTTGTGTTATTCATCAGATTTATTATTTAATCTTATGTCAGTGGCAATACACTAAGATTTGTAAAATGACCAAAACTGGCACCTGATGGACTGTCTCCTTCTTGATTCTTGTTTGTTCATCTGAGGAAGTTATTTAGTACTGTAGGAAAAAATGCTAAATACTGATGATGAGATAAGCTCCCAGGTACAACGTACAGTAGCTAGAGAATCTTGAAAAGACATCAATGCAATAGCAAGATAAATGCTGAGTTTGTCTTATTTGTACCTCACAGGAGCCTTTTAATACTCAATACAATATTATTTCACTTTTACCACAATTTTTAAATTTAGTTTAAAACACAAATAGGAATCCCAATCCCTGATATTTTTCCTTCTTTTTATTTAGTATGTATGTATGTATTTATATATGTATGTATGTATGTATTTATTTATTTGGATAGTGAGACACTATAAGTTCACTGTAACCTCCACCTCCCAGTTCAAGTGATTCTCCTGCCTCAGCCTTCCGAATAGCTGGGAGTACAGGTGCATGCCACTATGCCCAGCTAATTTTTATATTTTTAGTAGAGACGGGATTTCACCATATTGGCCAGGCTGGTCTCAAACTACTGACCTCAGGTGATCCTCCCGCCTCAGCCTCACAAAATGCTGGGATTGCAGGAGTGTTTTTATTTCAGTCTAGGTTCTCCCTAAAATATCCATCTAGTTTCTAAAATTTGTTTTCCTCATCTTATATCTTTCAAATAAGGTGGTTTTACTATGACACTAAGTGTTTCTAATGAGTGTTTTTATATTTTTTAAAGGTTTCCTTCAAACAACTGCGGATGAGTTTTGCTTTTACTATGCAAGAAAAGATGGTGGGTTGTGCTTTCCAGATTTTCCAAGAAAACAAGTCAGAGGACCAGCATCTAACTACTTGGACCAGATGGAAGAATATGACAAAGTGGAAGAGATCAGCAGGTTCATAAAGATAAATGCTCTTTAATCTTTAAAAAAACCCAACTGACAAATCTTGTGGTTTTGACAGTGAATCAACTGTCTGTGCTTATGTTCAGCAGCTATATCCTCCAGATGCTTTATTTTTTTCTTTGTGGTAGTTTGTTTCTCTAAAATTCTAGCTTAAATGCTTTTAATACTTAGACTACTAATCTTATATTATGAGCTTGGCTTCTCTATGACTCATGTGAATTTTATGGATATGGTTTTAAGCCTGAATTTTATGATTGTTGTTAGCCTATGGCGCTGTGAAAATGTTCAGCTCAATTACTATTGGCAAATCAGATTTTTCTAAATAGATCTTAGAACTTTCTCTCTACATGCCTTCCATAAGATTTATTTATTGTGAGTAAAACTAATTTTAATTATAGTCACTGAAAGATGAAAAAATGAGATTATGACTTCTGAAAACATATACATGTTTTGATTCTCTTATTTTGCTTTCTGATAGAAGGCTGTTCTGTTGTTTGCCATTGAAAGAATTTAAAAGAACCACTTAAAAGAATTATATTGTGACCCTTGGGTTAGCAGCACTTCATGGTTCTCAAAACCATGATTCCTAGAGGAAATAGAGTTTGAAAAGGATGCCAAGTGCATCCCTTATCTCCTTCATCTCAAGAAAAGCTTACTGGTTTTCTTTAATTTGTTTAGAAAGCACAAACACAACTGCTTCTGTATTCAGGAGGTTGTGAGTGGGCTGCGGCAGCCCATTGGTGCCCTGCATAGTGGGGATGGCTCGCACCGTCTCTTCATTCTGGAAAAAGAAGGTTATGTGAAGATACTTACCCCTGAAGGAGAAATTTTCAAGGAGCCTTATTTGGACATTCACAAACTTGTTCAAAGTGGAATAAAGGTTGGCTTTTTAAATTTTATTTATTTTTGTGCTGGCTATGTTAATTTTATTTTAGTGTTACCTTCCTCACTGAAGGTATTTCTTTGTAATAAAAGAAAGAATCTTGCAGGAGAAAATAAGGCGACAACATAAGGAAACAATAATTATGGCACCTGAATTAGGACAGTGACATTAAATTTCTGTTATTTGTTGACTATTGTGCAATGCAATCGAATTGATATCTGACATGCTTTCCCTATGTAATTGACACATTTAAAGGAATCTTTGGCTTTATAAAGTATTTGTTTAAATATTGTTTAATGGGCATAGCACAGGATTGTACATCCATTTGCTAGCAGAAGCAAAGAGGTGTTTTGGCTATTTTGGCAATTGCAAATCATTCTTTCACCATCTCTGTTTTTGAGTCTGTCTCATAAAAAAATACTACTTATACTATGACTTCCTTGTACAATGTTTTTACAGGTAAGTCAAATATTTCTATAATTAGTCATCTATATAACATATATTGCCCTCTTTTTCACTTCTCTAATTTGAATTCTCATGTTAAATAACCTAGGTATGTAAACAAAATTATTGTCAAGTTTGTTTCACAAGAGTAACACAGTACATTAGCAGTACTAAACTATAAAGCAAATTATGACATTCTAAAATTAAGACACATTTAATAGCTCATGCCTATTTTACAGTGAAACAAAGTAACAATATGATTTGGGAAGAACTGGTTATCCTTTTCATTTCTTAACTGAAAAAAAAAAAAAACCTAAAGGAGGATTTATAGTCTTCTACTCACATAGAAATGAGCTCTTTCTTGCTTTGTTGTGCTGTACTCAGTAGTAAGAAGACCCAAATCAGAAGAAACAAGTCAGGAAAAATACAGATATATTCCTGCTCTCTATTTCATTTTCTTATTGTATGAGAGTTAAGATGACTCCAGTCTTTACTTTTTACCATTGTAAATAATGTTATTTATTATTCGTATACATTTTACTTAATCTGGTCATGGATGACTTCCTTAATATTCATTCACAGGAAGGGCATTACTGAGTTGAAGATTATAACCATAATACATATTGCCAATTAGCTTTAAAAATATTTTCAGATATTTGAGAATAATATTAATTATTTGAGAGAATATTAATATTAACAATAGTTTTCAAATGTGCTTTGAGTAAAAATGTTAGTATTAAAAAGATATGTATGATATAATGTAGATGTAAGGAGGGCTCAGAATACTGGAAAATGGTTTTATAACAAGAACTGATGTTCTTGTTTCTACCTCAATTTGACCGCCTTTTAAATCAGTGTTCCTTCAGCATCCCTATTTCAATTTATACCCTTCATAGGGATATCTGATTATTCATTAGAATATTCAGCTCTGACATGGAGATGTCTCATCATGCAATAAAATTGTACAAGCAAGGATATAACAGTGCCTTGGTTCTGAATATGTGTGTCTGGCAGTCTTCTAGGAATTCTGCAGAACTTGGCCAAATTTGCAAGAAAACTTGCAGAATTTGGACCTTCTTTTCCAGAAGAGCTCCCAAGTTTCTGGGGCCTAAAATATACTTCAAAATCTATTATTCTAGCGACTGATATGACATATTTTAAGATGCAATATTTTAAATTCCTTTAGTGTTTTAGCACTAGTTATGCCCACAAGATAGGAATATATCACATGGCTATCAGAGTGTGTATAGTGAGTAATGAGATCACATCCTTCTTACTTCAAGCAGGTTATGCTGCAGGTGGTCTTTATCTCAGTGTCTATGGAACTCCCTGGTAGGAAGAGTTAAACAAGGCCACCATCAGTATGATGGGGCAGATACCATCACATTTATGAGTTGATCACAGCACTGATTTTGGTGGTTGCCCCTCAGATACTTGTAATGTAAAAGAGTTTTCAAAGCTATTTTTGGCTTCTTTAATATATGAAAGTTATCATATATTTATGACAGGATTCTGTGTTTGTCAATAATCATTTTGCATAAGTAATGCTTATACTTTATGAATTTTCATAAATTATTATACATATCAACTCTTCTCTATTTTTTCAGTTTTAAAATCCTAAGAGAGGGCATAAAGCTGTTTAACAGACTGAAGTATTAATTGCAATACTCAAATCACAGAATTGGTAATACATACTAAACCCAACCTCCACATGTTTGAAATTGAGAATAATAAACACCAGAGTGCAGAACCCCTTCACGGTTACATTAATTGATGACCAAGAGGAATATGTTAAGTCAGACATAAGAAGGAATTTCTGATTATAAGAGTTTCTAAAATATATTGCTAGCTATAAAAAAAAAATCTGGCATTCCTTGTCTGCTAATGTAAATTAATTAGGAGTGATTTCTGTCACATGGTAAAGGCTGACGTTTTTGTGGCGAACAGTCGGACTTGCTTATCTCTTTAAACCTTTACCAACCCTGATTCTTACAACTGCTTGAGAGGGATGCCATCAGCCAAGAGCCAATCATAAGGGAACTTGGACAACTCTTCCTAAATGGGTCCTGACTGAAGCTAAAAAGATGATGTCTTGTTTTTAAACACCAAGATCGTGCTGTGTAAATTGTAGGAGATTGTAGTACCTGGGGGCTAAACTGTCTATAATTCCAGAGAAAAAGTTAATCTGCAAAAAATGCAAAGCACAAGCTAAAGAATTAACTTCTTTTTGTTATAGAAAAAAAAAGTTGTAGCATTGAGATTAAAGAGTAAGTCAGGAATATGTTTTTAAAATATGTAGTGATTTGATAGGTCTTTGATGACAGTGTACTCTACAAGCCAATCACTAATACTGGCACTGTGAAGAATGGGCCACGTGTCAAACTGATGAACAAACTTTAAAACTTTCATTGTGTGTGTGGCTGTGTGTGTGCATGTGCACATGCAGCATTGTTATTCTGTTGTTATCATTTTATTCCAAAGGGCAAAAATAACAAAAATTTTACTATCTCCCGAAAGAAACACTTCTTTAAGATACTGGGTGATTTGAAATCTTTAAATTGAGCTTATATCTAAGCTCTGAAATCAGAGCTTCTGGCAAGTACTAGAACCAGTTTTGTCTGTGTAAAGTCCTTGGCAGTGATAGACTAATGGCTCTCAAGAATGGCTTCACAGTACGATCACCCAGAAGCTTTCAAAAATTCTTATAGCCAAGCTGGGTGTGCTGTCTCATGCCTGTAATTCCAACACTTTGGGAGGCCAAGGCAGGAGGATTACTTGAGGTTGGAAGTTCCAGACCAACCTGGCCAATATGGTGAAACCATGTCTTTAATAAAATTACAAAAAAAAAAAAAAAAAAAATAGCCGGGCATGGTGGCATGTGCCTGTAGTCCCAGTTACTCCAGAGGTTGAGGCAGGAGAATCACTTGAACCTGGGAGGCGGAAGTTGCAGTGAGCCAAGATCATGCCACTGCACTCCAGCCTGGGCAATGGAGTGAGACTCCATTTCAAAAAAAAAAAAAAGAAAAAAACCAACTTCTTGTACCCCAAAATAGTCAGTCAGAATATCTGGGGTTGGCACCCAGGCATCAATATGTTTTTAAAGCTTTCCCAGGTAATCTCGACATGTAGCCAATTTGAAAACCACTGATAGAGACTGAGCCAAACTTCTGGGTCAGTTACACATTGAATGAGACATATTTTTCTCTGCCAAACCTACACCCAAGTCCTATTCCTGACTTAACAACTAAGAGCAGGTGGTTGGACACCAGTTGTCATTTGCCCTGTACCTTTTCTCATTTACTTAGTTTATATATATATATCTTATCCAATTTGAGTGAGGAATTGGGTTAATTCTGGCAGCATGTAAGATGCTTGATATAAAGTATATGAAATACCATTTGAAAAAAAAATGGTATTTAAAAATCTCAAGTTAATTCTAACTGGGAAATGGCTTTACCCATTAATCTTTTTCTGTTTTTATTCCATTTTGGAATCTGGTGCTTAACTAGTTGGTGAAATTGCTATTATTCTTGTTCTTAAAACATGTGGATTGTGATTATATATGTAAACCCTTGTTAAAAGTGACAAGGCCACCAGAAGATACTCTAGTGTAATTTCACCAAAGCGCCCCTGGCTGCCAAGAATGGGAGAGTCAGCCTTAGCTTTGCATATGTGTTAAAGGAAGGACATGCCCGCACCTGTCACTTGACAGGGTGGCCCCTCAAGGAAACTAGCAAACACCATTCTCTGCCACTTAGTTCTTGAGAGTGGTCAGAGGACAAAGAGGTTCACACCCTCAGCAGCCCTCGGCTGGCAGCACACAGCAGACACAGCTGAAAGGCTTGTCTATCATTGGAACAAGTGTCACTGGACTCCTGTCCCTCTCTATCTACTTGGATCCTCATTTCAAAAGATGCTTTTAGAAGCAGTCCTTTTACCAGGGGAGGAGAGGACATGAGGCTGAAAGCTGCTAATTGTCCGGGTGACTGAGCCAATTGAGGTGGAGCTCTTGAGAGACAGCAGTCCCGGTGCCCGGGAGTCACAGGAGCATGTGGAGGAGGATGCAGGGTCCACCAGGGCAAGCCCTGATGGGGCAGCCTCTGGTTTCACAGGCTTTTAAATCACAAACATAATAATGAGTATCAAAAATTTAGTGAAATCTAAGTCCTCATCAACCATGGAGGCTGATGTTCCATTTCTCTGAACTTTGTCAAACCTAAATTTTTACATTTTTTTCTTTGACTTGCAACCGTAAGGTAACCCATGAAGCATTAGTGTGTTTTTGCTTGAGTGAAATGAGTCAAAGCAGATTGAGAAGCAATTTATTTTTCAAAAGTGGTATTGGTAACACAGCATGCATACACATTATACACACATACACATACGGTGATTATTAGATCATGTAACAAATGCTTCCCTAGAAAAACTGCTGAGAACTCTGCTTTTAAGTACGCGTTAGGTTAGAATAAAGCCCGTGTTAATAGAAAGAAAGCAACAGATTATATTTGTTAAACATTATAGTAGAAGAATCACCATTGTGGCACATTTTTGTA